CATTTTTCGTAGGGTGAAGATCTGATCAACAGTACTTTCGCCTTTTCGGAAGTCACACTGATATTCTCCTATGGTTTTATCAACCTTTGTTGTTAAGGCTGTTTTATCGGTACACCAAAACCTAGATACATTGTTTTCTTTGTTATTTACCGACAAAATATCTCGAAATTTGGACACGTTATTCAAAATTATGTTGCCTTTAAACTGATGGTTTTACTTTTTAAATTTTTTTAAAAGTTCTTTTGAAATATTGGATTATATAGTTTAACGATCTATTATAACCAAACTTTTTACGCCCATCACTTGAAAGAGTTTTTTTTCTGTAATCGTTGGTTTTTTTTCACCTTTTTATGTCCAGTAATAATCGAGAAAAGCGTGTTCAAACTTTGAGGAAAATTGCTAAAAAATACTGAAATCTAATAGTGAAACGTGTTACTCATCATTGGCATTTAGTTTCACCGTTATCGGCTGCGTGACGTCAAATCTCATGAACGTACGGTCAGATAGTTTGATTTGAAATCAATTTCAAGCTATAACTGCGAAATTGTTTATTTGTTTGTGACAACAAATTGTATTTTTTTTTTGATAATAATATTTTTATGTTATTTTAAATTTATTATAAATAAACACCATGATGTTTTTTGCAGTCACGTTTCACAAATTTATATTCAATACTATATTTAGCTAAGACATATAATTTAAAAATGTGATAATTATTTTTAAAACATCTACGATAATCAAACAAAAAAGGCATTCCCGACAAAAGTAATTTGAATGAAGAATAATGCATTTTGTTGTCATTAAACCACCCGCCGGCCGGCGCCACTGCGAAAACATCTGTACCCGTTGTCGGCTGGCGTAAGCAGTGAGGAAAAGTAAAATCGCAGTGTGTTTTGACTGCTAAAACAGCCTTAATCTATGTTGTTCAATCAGAAATGTATTTTTTTTTAATTTGCAACTCTTAAAGATGCATTTTCCAATTTCAATTTTTTGTTTCTTCATAATCGAATTAGTAAACAAAATTTCCTGATGCTCTCAAGAATCAAATACACTAAACTGCATCTCAACTGTCTAACTGCATCGATTTTCTAAGGTTGATCCCTCTTTTGTGCTTCATTGCCTCGACTATGCCACCAAAATGTCTGAAACACTATGTATAGTATGTGGTACATACATACATAACATATGAGATCAATATTGCTTATAGTTTGTTCCTCCAGAGTATTAGGATTTAAGTAGGGTAATCCATTTGAGTATATCGATTTTGTTTTCTCTAGAGGGAATAATATTTCTCTTTCCCCATGATAGCTGGCAAGCAAAACACGAAAAATCAGAATAATAAAACAAAACAAACAGCAGATGAAAAAAATGTTTTGATTAAACACGTTGTTTTGGTAAAAAACATAAAAACAAAATATATGTTTTGCCTTTTTTTATTGAGTTTTTTGTTGAAAATTTGCATACATTTTTAAATCCAATATGCGCAGTTGAATATTCACAGATTCCAATTAAATTTAAAACAAATCTACGGAAACAGAATATTGATGTAAACATTCCGAAAATGATTGAATAGGGTTACAATTACGAATTGGCAAATATTGGGTCAGTATTATCATCCATGTAACATACAAGGCCATCTAAATTTACCCATATCTACTAATATAATTCTTTACAAACACACAATGTAATTTAAATATACATGGCCAATCAAATTTGTGTATACCTAGTACTATGTCAAATTTAATATAATAAATAACAAAATTTAAATAAAAAAAATAAAAAATAAATACAATTTACATTTAAGTATAGTACACTCGCTATTATCTGAGCTAATTGGGAATAAACTCGGATAATGTGGAGATCGAATATTTGCTTAAAATAAACGAAACATTCAAAAGTTATGAAGTATGTAATTAGTTTATTATGTACAAGTATGTAAACCTGTACACACAGTATATAATTAAAATATATAGTGTAACGTCGTTTTTTGATAACATCGAGTACATACATTTAATTCAAGGTCAGGTTAGCTCATGTCGGAAAGAAGGCGTGTTAAGGTCAACTTCACAAAAAAACTACGTAGTATGTCAAAATTTCAAACACAATTAGATAACTGAAATTATAATTTATCATTGGACGCCACCCCTTGTTTATTCTCGCAGGGGACGAGAAAAGATAAAAAAAAATTAAGATATATAAAAAAATTTACAGCGAAATTACACTTTATTTCTCATTAATAAAAAGAAACATTAAAAGTTGTTATTTCCAAAGAATACTAAAATACCATTTCATAATTACATTATTATAAACAAAGCAACTTTCTATCTTTTTAAATCAAGAATTGGTTGATAGAAACAAATGAATTTATATATTATTCCCAAATTTCGAAATTCGTTTACATTTAAAATATTATAGTAGTTATTTATTAACAAGGCAACATAGAAAAGTTAAATCTATTTATTAACTAGGCATAATAGAAAGGTTAAGTTTTTAAACAAAATTTAAAATATTTCACTATATTCTTGTCTCTGTGAATCCATAAATAATTCTCGCGTTCCTGATAGGGCTTAATAAAAAAAAAGGTACAACCTTATTTATCCAATCTCTGGGAACCAGGAAAAAAGGGACATACCCTGCTTCTTCTCATCCGTTGGTTATTTCGTCAAATATTTACTAATAAGAATCCATTTATATAATAGGTAGTTATTGGAAACCATATATAGGGAAGTATTGGACCATAGGAAACTGTTTCAGTTAACTTAACATAATCAATGGACTTTAACCTCCCGGAAAAAGAGTCTGAAAATAATTATTCATCTGAAATATAGACAAGAAAAAGCTTTTCTTTGTAGCTTACCTCTAATCTAGAGACTCACTTCGAAAACGCGTCCTATCTGGTGGACGTTTGTAACAGGAAAGAAAGCGACGCTTTTTCAACGGTTTTGAATTGGGGGCGTGATTGACAAGTTAATATCGTTCTCATCTATCGGATATGTTGGGAATTACCGTAGAAACCTTGAGTCGAATACAAGCGCCTGGCAGATAGGTGGGGTTAGTAGTTTTATTTAAAAAAAAATAATCGAATTTATAATGAATTTTCTAAAACTTTTGAAACGGTTACAATAGATAGGAAAACATTTACATACTGGATCATCTTCATGTTTTAAAAAAGTATTTGATAAATTTGTGTATCAACTTATGGACTCGTTTTGACGGTGTGATATTGAGACAACGCTGAAGATGAAGGACACCGGTAGGGGTTGACTTTTCCTGTTGCTTAATGTAAGCGAGGGCAGTTCCAATCGCCTTCAATCTTTCGGAGTGAGATAATTTCTCGATTATCTCATCTGTGTCATCCTTAGTGACATTCTGTGGCTAATTTATGTCGGCGATTGTATCATCAGTTAGTTTCATTTGCTGCTCTTACAATATTCACTCGTTGACGTCTTTATAGATTATCGACATTTCTGTTGGCAACTGATTAGCGATGTCTACTATTTCAGCAATTCAGTTATTGTTAACTTTTCCATCACTTTTTGCTTCAATTTTAAAAAAGCTTCCGCCATGACTTTTACAAAGTTTTTACTCTCACGTCATCTCGCGCTGAAGCTATGCAGTAAGACACATCCTTAATTATGATCTTTTTGGTCCAGAGGTTGAATGAGAGATGTGACGTTTTTTGACAAAAAACAGCTTTAATTTCACCTCTAGTCAACGACATTGCATGTCGATGAAATGGCACGTTATCCAATGGCACGCACTACGTTGATTCCTTTACATTGTGGATAGACAGTTTACTTTAAATATTTTTAAAATCCCTTGGATTCTTTGATTTTCCAATAAGTGGAGATCTTAATTTTAAAGATCCAAAGAAGTTACTACACATCGAAAGAGGTACTCGTTCTTTGACTTTTTTATATCTAGGCCTAGTTTTTTCAATTTGGACTGCCAGTGTTTTGGCTGAAACCATTCTGAAATTGAGACCCGTTTTGTCACAATTGAAGATTTTGTCTGACGTGAGGCCATGCTCTAAAATGGAATCTCTCAATTTTACATTAAACGACTTAATTTCAGATGAACCGGCCGAAAGTTTTTCACCCAAAATCTTCAGTTATTGGATGCCATATCTCTTTCTTCATATGTCGATGCAACCATCACTTGCAGTAAAATTTTCCTAGCCATCCTTAAACCGATTCTGAAACTCGACAGTCTTAGCTCAAAGCATGAGGCCACTAATTAGACTTTTCACCCCCTCAAAGATTAGAAAACCATAAAAATAAGGCTACATAAGTCTGTTGGTAGTCTCCTTTCTTCAAAGTTTTCCATAACAGATTACTTTTACCAGTCACACTTTTAATAACCCATTGTTAAATATCTTTTCGTTTACGTCTTTAATCTCCTACAGTGACTTCTCCAACATCTAGGTCAGCAGCAACCTTCTTTACTCACGAACCCTTATCCAAGCGTTTTATAGCACTTAATTTTATTTCTAAAGAAACCACAACTCGTTTACGTTTAAACTCATATTGCACTTTAAGTTACGTAGAAACTACACAAAAAGTTTACATGACTGAACTTGTAAGAACTTATAGTAGGATGCACTCTTTTTAACGTTTGCAGGCATCCTCAAGATCGCGACAATGCGCGACCTAACGACTTTTCAAAATTTAGAAAACTGTCAACAACATATAAATATACTGGTCTCAATATTTGTTGGGTTCAAGTATAACTTTGGAAATGTGGTTTACCATCATTCGATTCATCCTCTAAAACATTCCATTTTGCTGAGGATGCAAGGATGTAATTTTGTTTGATACTATCTCATACCATTTTTTATATCATGAACGGTCTGCTAATATGTCATTACGTATAAGAATAATCAATCTGATTGTTTATATATTAATTATTATCTATGTCTTCATTGACTTCCAAAAATTACCTAAGTTACCTAAGTCCTAAATTACCTTCCAAATATTACAACATTGTATCCTTTGTTTTAGGACCTTCATGGGGTTAACTTAGAAGAGTTTAAGTATGGAGGCACTAACATCACGGCTTTCCGGTTAGTGGATCCAGATGGTCCAGAAGTTCACAAAATCCTTAGGGACTGGAACGCTGGAATCGATATCAAAAACAGAAAAGGAGAACCACCACCATTGTACCGAGTAAGTATTCTGAAATATTCACTAAGCTTTTAAATATTTTGACTTTTTTTCAGATTATTCAAACATTTTTTGTTTGAATTTTTTCAAAAATTTGAATTTAATTAATACACGCCTTAAATTTTATTTGATTATTCTGTTAAAAAAATTTAGATACATTAATTGTTGACTAATTAAATAATATATAATAAACCACCAGAAGTCCAAAAGACTGAAATTTACTAAAAAGGGGAATTTAACGTGATTATATCCTCAAAACTTCTTTTCGTCTTTATTGAAGAATGTCTGGAATTTAAAAACTGAAATTCTGAACTTTAAAAGTCAGAAAGCCGTCTTACTGACCTTAGTTAGTAATAGTTCCCGAGGTTCTTTAAAACGCCCTCTCGTGGCCGAGTCTACTCCGAATGACTACCTGCTAAACTAGACCCTCCTCTATCATCCAGCGATATGGCAGCGAAATGGCAGCTGTAAGGCCAAGCATTACCTTTCGAAGAACTGCCTTCATTATCCATAGATTTTCAGCAAGGAGGCTCCCTGTCCATTTTCCTAACTTATACAGTCTAATTAATTCGTCTGTTAACAAAAACGGATTCCACCAACCTACATTATCTTTCGCTCTTGCCTTTGTCGTTGGTCCACCTGTCTTTCTTCCTCTTCTCTCTTCTTGATCACTGCACAATTATGTAATTCATAATTGTCCCTCTATACATCGTATGTGTCGCAGTATTCATATGTCTGCAGTATAGGCATTTATCCGTGTCAGCCTTTCTGAACCTAGAGGTATTCCCTAAAATACAGTTGCCTATGACCACACTACATCCAATCTGTTATGTTCGAGATCAGCCCCTATGACCTTTTAAATCTAAATAGTATAAATATATAAATATTTATACTATTCAGATTTAAAAACTGTTCTAGTTCTTCAGTTCTTTTATTGGCTCTTAAAGTGTATTTCCAATTTTTGGGGAAGTAGTGTTCTCCCTGTATGCTTCTGTAATTATTCCTAAAAGGTATGGACTAATGCAAAGATGTTGTAAAACTTGCCAAAATTTAAGTCTTGGAACTGTAAAATACGTCTTTTCTAGGTCGATGAAGGCTAGATATACTTCGGTGCCAACCGCTATTCTTTTTTCTATTAATTGTTGGTTTATTTAATATAAATAAGTTATCAGTCGTTTCATATAATGTTCATACATTCCACGATTAAATACGATTAACCTATATGTACTTTGTTTTTCCGCCCGGAAATTCTTTACACCCCTGTCCCATTTAAGCAACGTCAGGCATTCCAGGCGGTTTTGTTTTGACTCTTCATTAGTGATTTTTCTTGAGGTATTTTAAGGGATCTTTATTGCAGTTTTTTCTCTTTGCTTATAGCATCCTTATGCCGTTGACCATTTATGTTTTATCCGCTTTAAAGACCGCTTTGTCAATCCCAGAAAAAAAGAGTGCCCTTTCCATTTACTAGCATATCTGCTCGAATCTGTTGACCAGTAATCTCACTGCTTCATTAGCCTTCAACCCAACTTTTCATTGGGGTTGGTAAATCAGTCTTAAGTAGGGTTGCTCAGGTTAGCAGGGTTCACCCTTGTGATCATGATCATACTTCTTGGAGGTGAGCAAAGGAATTGGGTAGGAAAGGAATTTGTTAGATGTGCTATTTGGAAGAAATACTTTAGAATGCCCCTTAAACTCATATATGTATCTTCTTCTTTAAATGCCATTTCCGCGACGAAGGTTGGCAATCATCATGGCTATTTTGACCTTCAAGCCAGCTGCTCTGAACAATTGACTTAAGCTGCAATTAAACCACTCTCTTAGGTTGTTTAACCAGAAAAACGCTTCTTCCTCCTACACTTCTCCTATCATCTATTTTTCCCTGAATTATAAGTCTCAAGATTTTGTATTTTTTGCCTCTCATCACATGTCAAAGATATTGCAATTTCCTTTCATACATTGTATTTTCCATTTCCCTCTCTCTGCCTATTTTCCTTAACACGTCTGTATTCGTGACTCTATCTACCCATGGATTCCTTAACAATCTTTATTCGATTTATTGTATTCCGGTTTAATGTCCATGATTCATCCATAGTAAAGTACACTGTGTACATAGTATTTATTTAGCCGTATTCTGAGGGTCAATGTCAGATATTTGCTGGATAAAATCTTTTTTATTTTCACCAAGTAGGCACGTGCTTTTTCAATTCTAACTCCTATTTCTGCAGTATTATCGTTATTTTTTGTGATTATCGTTCCTAAGTAGGTATATCTTTTAACTCTCTCAATCTGCTAGCAGTTTTCCCTTAATATTTCGTTTGTATTGTTGTTCTTGCTAATTTCCATAAATTTGTTTTTTTTTATGTTAAGAGAGAGTCCGTATTCTCCACTATATCTTAATATTTTGTTTATTATTCTTTTGAAGTCTTACAAGTTGTCGGCTATTATGACTGTATCATTGACATACCTAATGTTATTAATTAAACTTCCGTTCACTTTTATGCCGACTGTCTTGTTTACCAAAGCTTTGTTGTATGATTTTTTCAGAATAAGCATTAAACAATAACGGCAACAGTGTGCAACCTTGCCTAACCCCTTTTCTTATCTTCCAATTTTCACATTTGATCGATGGCTGTAGCATAATTTTGATATCAATGTTAGATCCCCCACATCTAGATTCTTGTTTTTGAGTACATTATAAGTCGGTCATGATTTACTTTATCGAATGGCTTGTAGGCTATAAAGCATACATAAAGATCTTGATTAACATCCAAACATCTTTGGGTCAGCACGTTAAAAGAAAATAGTGGCTCTCTTGTGCCCACTCCATTCCGAAATCCAAACTAGGAATCACTAATATCCATCTCCAGCTTAGAGTGTATTCTATTATGGATGATTTTTAGCAGGGTTTTTAGGGTATGTAACATTAGACCCATTGTTTGATAATCACTACATTCTTTGGCATTTACTTTCTTTGGTAGAGAAATAAATGTTTCACCTGGAATGATTCCTGTGGAATAGTTTGTGTTCAGTAGTTGGACTTAAAGATCTATGTTTTTTTCATTGACCAGTTTTAGCAATTCACTTGGTATTTTTTCTGGACCAGCAGCTTCATTATTTTTCATGGACTTTACTGCATGCATAACTTCCGACTTTGTTATTTCGGGTCCCTCGTCATTACTCTGATTATCTTCATATATATTTTTTCTGTCTCTGGTCATGGAATAATTCCTCTATATATTCTTTCCATCTTTCTAATTTTTGTTCCGTCTTTACTAAAACGTTTCCTTGTTTGTCCAATAGTATGCTTGAGGTTTTTTGTTTTGCTACCCCAGCTAATTCTTATGGAGATTGAAGTTATGATATCTATATATCGAGTAAAAAAATGTTGTATTCTTAGAGGTTGTTGCTGTGTATATTATATATTATCTATTTTTTTTAAATTATGTATTTTGATATACAGTGTGGAAACCACTTATGGAATAAAATTCTTTGTGTCCTTATTTTAGAAAATAATAAAAAAGATTGAGATACCTTATCTTTTAAATTTAAATGTACGCTTTTCAGACATAAATTTGAATGTACAGGGTGATCAATGTAAGTCTGGCATAGTGCATCTTCTTCTTCTTCATGTGCCATCTCCGCTACGAAGGTTGGCTATCATCATGGCAATTTTGACCCTGGAGGCTGCCGCTCGGAACAATTGTATGGAAGTGCAAGCAAACCACTCCCTGAGGTTTCTCAACCATGACATTCTTCTCCTACCTATGCTGCGCCTACCTTCAATCTTTCCTTGCATAATTAGTTGTAACAGTTGATATTTATTCCCACGTGTAATATGTCCCAGGTATTGTAGTTTCCTCTTTTTAACACTCAATACGACCTCCTTTTGTTTGTTCATCCTGTCTAATACAACTTGGTTAGTTATCTTATCCTTCCAGGAGATTTCTAACATTCTTCGGTACGCCCACATCTCATATGCCTCCAGCTTACCCATACATTGCTTATTTAGTGTCCACGCCTCCACCCCATATAACAGGACCGAGAAAACATAACATTTAAGCATTCGTATTTTCAGCTTTAGGCTTAGGTTTCGGCTACACAACATTTGTTTCATGTTGTTAAAGGCACTGCGGGCTTTCTCTATTCTTATTCTTATTTCTCTGGTGTATTCGTTTGACTCGTTAATATTTGTTTCGAGGTAATTGTAATTTTGTACTCGTTCAATGAGATTCTGTCCTACATGTAAGTTGATATTATTGATACGTTTCTTTGTAATTATCATGAATTTAGTCTTCTCTGTATTCAGTGACAGACCAAATTCTGCACTTGCTTCTACCACTTTGTTTAGTAATCTCTGTAGGTCGTCAATATTTTCTGCTATGAGCGCGGTATCATCAGCATATCGGATATTGCAAATGGGGTGACCGTTGATCTTTACTCCGGCTTTTTCGTTCATAAGAGCTTTTTTCATAACTTCTTCCGCGTAGACATTGAACAAGTTTGGAGACAACACACAGCCCTGCCGAACACCTCTTTTGATCTGTATTCTATCTGATATCGAGCTGTTAATTCGTACTGTAGCTTCTTGTTTGTAGTATAGATTCCTTATCACTCGTATGTCCCTTGTATCAATATTTTTATTTTCCAGTATTTGCATCAGTGGCCTATGTTTTACTGTATCAAATGCTTTGTTATAGTCTAGGAAACACACAAATATGTCCTGATTTACGTCTAAACATCGTTGTGTTAGAACATTAAAAGCAAACAGTGCCTCTCTAATAGTTCCTAGTCCGTCTCTAAAGCCAAATTGAGAAGGTCCGATGTCAACTTCCAATTTTTTATATATTCTCCGCATTTATATTATTTTAAATGAAACACCCTATATATTTTTATGTTTTTAAAAGCTCCTTAACAACCTGATTTCAATGAACTATATCATGTAGGGTCTATTATGAATAATACAAGGTGGAATTTTGAAATTAGGTATTTTCTTCAAAGCAATG